AGAGAATGTGAGAAAAACAAATTCTCTTTAGAACTGCCTTTGCAGTTCCTTTTCATTTGCTCTTCTGGCTTTACATTGATGGAATTGGCTTTATGTGTACAATTTATAGTGAACACAGTGAATGTATTTAATGAAAAATAAAAATCTGTTAGTTTTCCTGACAAAGATAATATTTTACCTTTTCCAAAATACTTTTTACAATAGTTGAACTGGAAACTTTAGGGGAAAAAAGGGAAATGCTAAAAAACTCATTAAAAACAACACTGTTGCTTTGCAGGACTGGAAAATCTCTTTTTTGGCTTTAAAGATTTCTTAATTCAAAATTCTTATTTAACTTGTTGTTTACACTCTGAAACTGTTTCTTACATCCTATTCCTGGATAATTTATTTTGGTTCCTGCTACTGTGCCAAAAGAATGATATATAAATATTCTTAAATTCATCTTCAGCAGTTTTTGCTGCAAGTTGAACATACATAAATCTGTTGTGACATTCACTCTTATGCTTCATTATATGTTCTCAAGAGTTTTTAGAGACTTTAATGTCTTTGTTTTTCACTTACTGCTTTTGCATTTGTTGAAAAGATTAAATATATATGATATATATTTCAAGTTACTACTCATAATTCTTTGGTCCTGTATATAGTTGTTAAAAAAAATGCCAGACTGATATGAAAAGTTTTGGTGGAATGAAACAAAAATTGAAAGCAACACTCATGACAGAACTTTATGGTCTGTATTCAACTATTTACTCTGTAGATATATGGGTTTATGAGGCAAACCTTGCAAAGTTATTTCACTGCTCTTATATGTGCAAACAATTTAATTGTACTTTGAATTTTGAAATATTTGATCTCAACAAAACATTACATGATTTATTTTTGCAGGAATATACTCAGCATACCTATAATTTTTCCATTCTAAACTATCAATCCCTCAACTCCACAAACGATTTTTGAATAAGTTACACATTTTAGAGCAGATGATTGCTTCAGGGTATTATAGAACTTTTAAAAAAAATTGTACAACTGCCATCTAAACATTTATGTACACAGAAAAGCAAATACATGTACCTTTTCTGTTATGTAGTTAAAGGGCACCTTTTGATGGAGGTGCACCTGACAGTGGAGTTATCTGTGTGCTGATACCAAAGTCTGATGGTGGTACAGCCAATAATTACACAGACTCCACACAGCTCTAGAAAATAAAGAACAGATTGCCGTGTTCTGGTTAAAGGAGGTCAGATGACTAACATTACACATTTGCGTTGCATTAATGCAACAACCTCTCTCAGTTTCTTCATTCATTCATAAAGTGGAAGGGCACGTGTGAAATTTGGGAGCCTTAACTGAAACTGAATTATTGTTTGAAGAGACCTAATCCATTCGCCTCTTAAAAAAAAACATTTTCAGAGCACTTGTTTGGCCATTAATTTCCTGAAGTTAATTAATATCTGCGGGTAGGATTCCTGCCAACAGAATTTCATTCCCAAAACCAGCTGACATTTCAACCTCTTATCTCCCCAGTGTTTGTCCATTGTCTAGAGGAAAAGCATAATATTAATAATAATAACAAAATCTATTTAAGACATTTTAATTATATGGAATATGTATATATTTATACATATAAGAAATGTCTGTACATTACCAAAAACTTTTTAAAGATTAAATTTCTGAATTTTACAAGACAGGTGGAAATCCAAGTGAAAATGACTACTGCATTTCTTGAATGATAACCTTGCAGGTGGTTGGTCTCAGTTTTACATTTACTGAATTCTTGGTTCTCTAAGACCCTGTATCAAGTTTGAGAAGGCATAGGCTTTACTGATTAGTATTTAAATATTTGCAGATTGTGAAAACAGATGTACTATGGGTTTCCAAGGGTGAATCTAAAGTTCAGAGAAATTAAAGAAAATAAAAATTGAGGCAAAATCCATTAGTTTAAGTAAAAATACAACTCACTAGCACTACAGCTGCCACTATCCCAGATAACAAAGGTAGCTTAGAAAAATGCAAGAACATAGATTCACATGGAACACTAGAAGCAGAAGTGTTCAAATCTTAAACCTGAAATTATTATCTGTGTAGGATCTACACAGATTTAGGTCTTTATAAAAATTAAGAAGATTAAATATTTGTCCATGTATAACTGAGTGGCAGCAGTACTCACATTGTTAATTACAGCAATATTAATAAACCAGTAAGTTTGTCAAGGGTGCCAGTAAGGCAGTATTGAGGTGGAAAAAAAACCTAGTCAAGCTCATCCATGAAGAACTATGTGACCCTATTTCTTTATGGAAACCAAATATTTAAAAGTTATTGACTTTTTACCTCAAAAACACAGATTATGGGACAAAATGATAAAATTGTTTGATATTAGGCAATCACAAATTTATCAAAGCTGCTTGTATAAACATATTCCATTCTCTAGTGAATTAATCTAGGGACAGAATATACATAATCATGTCATTAACAGGTATTGTAAAGAACATTCCTAGGTGCATTGCTAATCATTCATCAGGTGTTTTCTAATGCTTGTATTTACTGTGAGAGCTGAAAATATGTCATTTTTCTAAAAGGTTGCCCTAAAAGGAAGAAGTTATGTACTGTTGTAGCAAACCTCCATCATCAATGAAGTTTGAAACCTATATTTGGCATGGCAGGCATGGTATTCTGTTTGACATAGTAACTGTAAAAAATCAAACCTGTTGAATACTATCATAATTATATGTTTTTTTGCTTTATTTCCAGATAGAGTATGGATGTAGCTCAGGGCAATGCAGACACTGAGGCTATTGTCAGTTGGAGCTTGGATCAATTTACTGCAGAAACTCTATAATCATGGTGGAGGCACTAGCCCTGGGGGGACTAAAAAGATGTGCAGATATGGCTTGGCAGTGTTTGGTTAATGGCTAGACTTGATGCTTCAAAATGGAAAGACAGAACTGTCCTACCGTTACTCAGTGGGTTACTGCTGAATTAATGCTTCAGAGAGAAAACATAGTGAATGGGACACAAAGGTCTTGTTTTGTTGTGTCCTTTTTTTGGGGTGTTTGTTTTTTTGCTTTTTCTTTTTGTTTGTTTGTTTGCATTTTGGTTGTTTGTTTGTTTGTTTGCTTGTTTGTTTTCCAGTGTGACTGCTTAAAGATTACGAAGTGTGTGAATTTAAAGGACAACAGCCCATTTAGAAAGACTCCATGTATGGACATTCATATGTAAGAGTAAGTGAGGGGGTTTACTATAGATTAGAGTATTTCACTTGCAAAATGTGACTTATTCCAAGTGAGAGTTCTCCAGAAGAGGAGGTTTTTCAAAAATTTCAGTCAGTTTTACCTCATCGGCAGAAAATGTCTAATGAGCAGACACTTTCTTCAGTAGGAGATACTACATTGTATCTTCTAAGAGAAGCTTGTAACCTACTAACAGCTAAAGTTGTCAAGGTTATTAAGGTTTTCATCCAGTAGTGGAATTTGTACCAGCCATTATTTTACCAGGTATGATTTCAGTGACTTCTTGTTAGCTAAGGAATAGTTGACTATTAAATTTAGAGAAGCAGTCTTACTTCAGAGGACCACGTTACTCATTAGTATTTGGTAATTGCCAGGTGTTTCTGAGTTATTTGTTAGAGAATAATTTTCTTCAGGGAAAAAAGGATATTTGGATTTATTTTTCCTTCTTTGCATGTGTCCTTAGATTTTAGAGTATTTTTTTGTCAGCACTTATAATTTCACTGGCTGCTAAAGAGGATTAGTCCTCCATCATTTTACTGATGGATATTGCAAGGCCTTTAGCCCCACCTGCTCAAGACCTTGCATGCTTTTCTTTTATTGTCTTTGTGGCAATGTCAGTTAGCTTAGTCTGCATTTCAAGTGCTGGAGTCCAAAGGTAGAGGATAAGGCAAGCTCACCTTTACTCATTACACCTAGAATAGTTTTAGAGATTCTGCTTCTGTTCATAACACTGTTTACAATATGGAAAATTGCTACAGAAAAGTGGCTTTCCTCCAACAAGAATTTCCTCAAGATCTATTTAGTCACTTAGAAATCTCCATGTTGCCATCAAGTTACTCTCTCATTTCACGTCTAATTGGGCAATGGATCTAATTCCTCTGTCTTTCAACCATTGCCTTGGGCATGTGAGTAGTATTTGTCATTAGAAATGCTTGCACATATTTTAGGGAGCTCAATAAAATAATATTATATCAGCATATAGTTGATGTTTTACTGTACATAAGACTCATTAATACTTTGTGAAGACCTTCCAGCTGAGAGGGAAATGGAGTATTTCTACCAGCAGAAGCTATTTGGAAGAAGCCAGCCTCATGTCTACCATGCACTGCTATGATGACGTAGAAGTGAATTAGAGAGCATCCATTTGCCATTGCACATTTTTCCTGAGCAAACAGCACAGACAGACATCAAATTCCTTCTCCTAGAATAAAGCATGGGTGTCTATGGTTGTCTGTCAAGACAGCAGTCACTAGAAAGAGGGCTGTGTCTAAATGTTAAGCTGTTCCCAAAATATCTCTCTTTCTCCTCTCTTTTTGAGTTTCATTATTATTAATGCAATTTCAATTTTGCCCTGCTTCTAATTTTATTAATTACCTTTCAAAAGATGAAAAATGTTCTGATTTGGAGCATTTTGAAGAGGACATTAAACAAACCTAATCAGAGATATTCCATGCCATGAAGTCTCCCATTGAAGCTGGTTTTGTAAAAGGAGCTAAGTATATTAAATTGTTAAATAATAATTAGGTGTGAGCATTAATGATAATGTATAGTTAACCTAGTTTGTGCTATCTGATCCAATTAATTTCTATAAATACAATAACTTCCTTTTGAGCTAATTCAGTTGAGACAGTGAGGCCAGCTCTTGCCCACTCAGAAAGGTCTATTGTACACAACAGACTTTAGTTCTTATTTTTGACCAGCTTTTCATGAGGAATTAACATGATCAGATTGCAGTGCTCATGAAACTTTGGACACACATGTAGCAAATAAATATGACTTCTATTGCTTGCATTTATTTAGGCTAAACATACATGTGAGACATTTCTGGATCAATAAGTAGTGCCAAAGAGCCAGGACATTGCATCATTCTTAAAAACTAATTTAATCTTAAATCAATATTAGAATCAGCAGAACTTTTTAAAGAATATAGAACTATTGTTTCATGAAGAAAAGCCAAAGAGAGCAGCAGTCTTACAGTTATAAAAGTATTCTTAATTTTACACAAAAACATCTGTAGAATACATCTATACAATGGAAAAAAGATCAGCTCTTTCAATTTTCAATTAAAAGCAAGCAGTCTTGATAAACTAACGGCATGTTACTTAGCAAGCTTAGTTGTACAATTCTAATTATTACTGTAATTTTATTGAATAAATATGAATGTTGTAGAAGTGTATATTCAGCATTAAGTAATATTGTCAGGATGATGTCCCTTTTATACCCTAAAGGTTATCTGGAATGGTTACATTGCCTGCGAGACCAAGCCCCGATATTTCTCGGTAAGGATTGTGGTCAAGTACAATTTAAAATACACATTTGCTTGCACTCAGATACCATAAAAGATGCACATACAGGTTTGGATAGGAAAAACATACAAATAAAATACTGTGCAAAGGTTCAGCTTTTATGCTGTTATGTTCTTACACATGTTAGTCATTGGCCAGTCATAACTGGGATTCCCCAAGGCTCAGTATTGGAGACAATACTGCTTAATATCTTTATCAATTATTTCAACCAGGGACTAGAGGGCATCCTAAGTCAATTTATAGATGACAAAAATTAAGCAAGAGTTAAGAGTTGGATGGCTTTACAATGGATCTGGATAAGCTGGATCAGTGGGCTGAGGCCAGTGGAATGAGGATCAACACCTGTACTTGGGTCACAACGACCGAAGTCAATGCCACAGGTGTGGGGCACAGCATATAGACTAGAAAGCACAGTAGAAAAGTTGCTGGTCAACAACCAGCTGAACATGAGCCAAAGTCTACCCAAATAGCTGAGAAGGCCAATGGTATCTTGGCCTTCATCCGAAATAGTGTGGCCTACAGGACCAGGGAAGTGACTGTATCGATATTCTCACTTAAGTGTAAGTGACAGGTTTTATTCTCAATTAGCTCATTCACTGGAAATGTTCATGCTCTTCATAAAATTGTTGGATATAGGTAGGTAATTTGTTGGTATAGAGTAGGTATTTCCCAGAAGGGGAGCATTTTCACAAGGAGTATTTCAATCAGATTCACCACGTAAGCACTTTATGTGACTATACAAAAAGTTAATTATTTACAATAGATTTTGATAAAATAGGGGAGAATATTCGGAACGTCAGTTCCATGTACACTAACACATTATTTGTATGGCTTGGAATATGTGTGCCTCATTTGTCAAAATCACAAACCTGCTGTCGTGGAAGATCTCTGTAGACATGTTTTAAACCTGAAGTCCACCACTAATCTTCAAAGGTGAAAAACAGAGCAAAGATAAACGATTTTCACACTTCATCACTTCCTTTGCAATCTTAAATTACTACACTGGCAGCAGAGGAAAATGTCTACTTTATTTTTTAAATTATGTTTCTAGCATTTTCTAAGTTACAGTGCCTCACAGGCCTTTTGTGTTGCAGTGTTGTAACAAGATCTTTGGAGATTTGTAAGATGCAATTGTCCACATTTTAATTTTAAATGGTCTGATGCTTTATATAAAAAGAAAAGAGAGCAATTAAGAGGAGAAAAACCTGCATTTCAGACAAGATCCTAAATCAGCATTAGTAATATGGTTGTAATTAGTAATGATGCTGCTGGAGCCTTTAGGATAAAAAAGCATGCCTTCATCCTATGGAAGTTGTCTAAGTTATGTCCATAATAGCATCTGTGTGAAGATGTGCTGGGAACACAAATAACTTTGCTCAGATCACACCCTTAGCAAGATCCTGCCAGAGCCCTTCATTGGGCAGAAAAAGTAGATAAACCGGACTTCTAAAGAAAGAAACCTACAGAAAAATTATATATTATTTTTGTACAGCTAAAGAGATACTAACCAGACCTCCTGTATAAAAAAAGTTGATAGTTTTAACAAGTGTGTAAGAAAAATATTTAGTATTCAGAAAAATATATAATATTCAGAAAAATTTGAATATCAAACCAGCATTACTTTGAATATGAAATTTTACTATATTTATTTTAAAAATGAAATTATTTATTATTTTCTCAATTCACTTTTAAGATAGTTCTGTGAGCACTGCCTGCAAATAATTCCTTTAAATAAAAAGATGCTTCTCAAAACTTCTAAAATTTCTCTGTGTTTTTTAAGCCATAAAATACACTGGATGTTAAGTAAGGATTTGTGAAGGCAGTAATGCTGATGCATTTTTGATTTGGAATAATGGCCAAGCCTACTCATCCTGGAGCAACTCAAAAAGGACGGTAGCTATATGGTCTATACCTTTTCCTATTCATGTATTTTGGGTGATTGAGTGAATAAGCACCAAAGGAGGGAACAGGTTCTTTAGTGACATGAACTGGGGACAGGCTGACTCCAGCTCCAAAGTGGTGGATGGAAATCAGAAACATTTGCTTAGCCTGGGTCCAAAATTGCATTATTATTAGACTGAGTATTATATTTTGGAAACAATTCTTAGTTTGTCATTCAGGTTTGTGCCTCTGCAGTACTGAGATACAACCTCCTTGTTTTGTGACACTGACATTTTCCTGTACTGTTCCTCCACTTGTGCATGTGTAAACAATTGCTTCCTGCATTGGGTGACCAGACAATAACAAGGGAACACTCCTTAGTTTAGAACTCTTACTCAAGATATATATTTCTGAGCTTTCTAGTACTGTGAGTTATGGCATTAAGTTAGCCTTATTGAATCCAGAAGAAAGGTGCTACCCGAAATCTGTCAAGGTAATTGTTCTTCTTTATCCTCTGAGACAGGACTCCTCTGTGTCAAATAAACATTTTTTAAGTGTTCTACCATAGTGTTCTCCTCATCTTCAAGATCTGCATCTTCTTTCATCTCCCACCTGAAAGAAAAAACATTCTATTAATTCTTAATATTTTTTAAACTAGTCTTTAGAACAAGTAAAAAAATACAGAACTTGTTTTTATTAATTCATTGCCCTCCCAAGCTGTGGTTTACACCAGTTGAGATTACTGAATCACACAAAATACAACCCCCAAAAACCTTGCTACACAGAACTTGGCATGGACATGAGGCAGTTGACACAAATTGTCAAAGCTATTACAAAATCTTACTTGTATTTACTGCAACAGTACTTTTTTTCCATTTAATTTTTAAATGGAAATTTTCCATTTCCATTTTTTATTTTTTCCATTTTCCATTTTAAACACATTAGTAGAGGTGGAAACCTTGTAAAACTTGCAGAGAAAAAGTGGAAGAGCTAACACACATTTTGGAAGTTAAGCAGATGCTCTCAATACTCTCTGAGTTTGCAGTGAAATATCACCACATGAAGTCCAACCCAAATATTTAATGTGAGTTGTCATAATTCTCTGGCACTGACAGTACTATTTTACAAAATACTACAAAACTGACTGGCTCTTTTGCTTCTTTAACCATCAAGTATAATGATCTAACAAAAAAAAAATTACATCAGATTCTTCCTTCCTCACGTGAATACTCATTTCTAGTTTAGGATTAAGAGTTAATGCCACTAAAACTGCAAAAGTGAAGGACTGTGAAGATTATATTTTTTTTATTAGTAATAGTCAAATATAAAACCTTAAAAATCATGCAGTATTCTGTTAAAGAAAATCAGGATAATAAATGCAGCAAGAGTGCTGATATGTAGTCAGGTAAACTTTGTAACACTCCAATTATGTCTACACAATGGTCTCTTCTTTTACAAGTTCTGTGGATATTCAAGAGTTTGATATCCCTTTAATATTAATCTCATGCGGTTCTAAGTAGATAATAAAGTGTAAGCTCCCAGTTCAGACCACCTGAAGACAAAAGGTAAAACACCAATATTAATCTAGTAATCACATTTTCAAGTATTAAAACTAATAGGTTATAAATGAGCCACTGAATGATGTAAAAAAAGTAGGAGATTAAAAAAATCAGCTGAACAAGGACTGCTTTTAGGAAACTGTCAGGAGCAATACTTTAGTTGTGTCCCCACTCTTCTTAGGTCCTCATTCATACTGTAAAAATCAGAAGCCATATACAAGTTTAGATTGGTGAATAAATCAAATATAATACAAAATAGTGGAACGACTGTATTTCATTCCTTATATTTGAAGAAGAGAAAAGCCATTATTGGCAATAGAGCATAGTGTACACTTTGTGTCTATTTTAAAACTTACTAAAACTAGAAGGACCAAGTGTTTTGTAGTAAAATCTCATTGTTAAAAACCAATTAGGAAAAAATATGTTCAATGAACATATATACATTAGCACATATACTTCACACCTTTACCTTAAAAACTGAATCTAACAACCCATATTACTGCCTGAAGGAGTATCAGAACACGCAAAGCATACTATGAATAAAATTATAAGCACTGAATACCTATGATCAAGGTTTTGCAATAATTAGCTTCCTATTACTCTTCTCATATGTGACTGCTATCATACTTAACCTTATGTGTATATTATCATTAGGTACAAATAATTGCTCTGTCTGCTTCATTCTCTGGTTTATGATATAAAATTTGGCTGTATGAACCTTCAGTGCAGTCACTTTTGCAAGCATCCCCAGTGAATGGTGTTTAACCAGCATGAGTGGTTTCCCCTTTTCCTTTTGGTAATGTTTTTCTCTTCAAACCTAGGAAGAAGTTGTGCATGCCTTAATTTGAATTTATGGTCCTCCGCATTATTCAGAAACACTACTACATGAGCTGAACGAATTAATTTTAATTAATTCGATTTGTTGCATATTTTTAACTAGAGGAGCTGTTTGCTTAGAAGGACTGTTATGACTTCATGGGGTCCCCTGGCTAACTCTGGACCACAGCTTCACTGACAAAAACAAAGGTAAAAGACAGGAGGCGCTCTTCTTCTTGGGACGAACGTCTGACAGCTTTATTGTGGAACACCTTCAGGGAGTAAAGGGGCATCCTAGAGGAAAAAAGAGGTTTATGGTCTTGTGGACGAGGATTTTAAACCCAGGGGGCAGGGGGCAGAGGAGAGAGGCCATAGCCAGTGGTACAACTGATGGGAGGGGCAAGGAGAGAAAGTAACCTGGGGTAAGACCACCACCACATGGAGGAGGAAAGGTATGCAGAAGAAACCATATGATACAAACAAATCACTTAATGCAATATAAAAACTACTCAGTGCAAAATTCCAATCACCCAGTGCAAAATAATGACTAAATAAACTACTTAGTGCAATACAACAGTCATAGTTATAGAGATAGGAGGTAGAGTGCAGCATTAGGGGTGACCCAAAATTATCTACTCCATATCTTCTTTACATCAATCCATGCAAGGTAGTTTACTATGTCTTGAATTCCCAGAGTTGGACACAGAACCTCTGTGTTTTACCCCAGTTCACGGAAAGGGGAGGGGTGATGGGAACAGGGGTGAAGTGGAGCTCTCTGTTTTGTCCTTTCCAGACTCTTGAGAACAATAGGGCACTCTGACAGGCTCCTAGCCACAGCTTTCTAGGAACTGATGAATAAAAAGGACAGTGACCCTTGCCACGGTTGCTACAGCAACCACCGCTTTTGGAGCCCGGGGAGATGTTTCTCTGGACTTTCTGCTGCTGCTGCGCAGGACAGCTGCCTGTCGCTGAGGGTTGGAGCCTAACCTTGTTTATCAGTCCCAGTATGAGGAAGGGTCTGCCTGTGATAGTGCTGTTCTTCAGATCTTGGAGAGGAACCAAGTTGATATAGTTTGTGATACCATACAGTTTATGGAATGATAACATCAAAGGCAGTGAAGATAGTTTGGTAAATGTATTCATTGTTGTTTGCCTGTCCTGATCTAGGTTGCTGTGTCTGGGGGTTTATTAACAATCACACATAGCCTGTGGGAGGAAAAGGAGGAAGCCTCTTTGCCTTTCACCTCCTTCTCCCCTTCAGGTCCAACACATCACTTCTTGAGAAAGCTGAATTCCCTCTGTATGCTATGGACATTGTGGGAGTTCAACTGATTGGGATGGATAGGGAGCTAGTCTTCATCCATAGTGGAAGCATCAATTTAAGGCCTTGGGATGCGAGTTGTTAAGAAATGAAACATCTAGTCGGGTTATGGTGAGAAGCATGGAATCATGGGAGTTATTATGTTAACACTGTTATTCCATATCAGGCAATGTTTCTAGTTCTTGTTTCTGATTGGTTAGGTAAGTTTTCTATACATGTTTATGTTTTTGGTTCCTGCTGATGATTAGTTCTCTGCCCTCAGATATATTGTTGAGTTTGCCCCATTGCCTTGTCTTTGAGGATCATCCCATACAGTGCACGGCTTTTACTTCCTGTGTTATTTCCGCTTGTAATTAAAGTTCTTTATTTTTTGGATATCCTTGTCCTTCTCGTCCCTGTTTCTTTTGCCACACAAGTCCCAGCTGACCCTGAGGTTGTGCACGCCAGCACAACAGGACACCATATTCTCCTTGCTGGTTCTGCTCTGTCTCCTCTGTACAGTCTACAACAGATTTGGAGTCAGGATGGAGATTTCTAGGGAGGTGTCTTGGAGTGATTTATGATGATAGTCTATTCCATCGTCCTCTGCTTTATGCCCCAAAATTATTCCTGTGTCTTTAAATCTTAGGATTGGCAGTGTGTGGGACTGGGCAGGGGGGAGCTTTGGGATTTTGGTGCGCATTTTTGAAACCTCACTGCTTAGATGTTCCGGCACTTTGCAGTTTGGGTTTGTTGGCCCAGGCAAAAAAGCTTTTCCCTCTTCTGGCTTGGAGAAGCTGTAGCAGCAATCTTTCATCTGCCTTGAGGTGAACTGAACAGCTGCTGGTCCAAGACTGCAGGAGTGGGACTGGCTGGAGTGGGGCTGCCCCATTCCAGCCCCAAGCCTCGGGGAGCTGAGCCAGGGAGAAAAAGCACACCAAGAGGCTCCAGCCCAGCTGTTTGTCTGGTGTGGAGAAGGGATAGACCCAGAGAGCCACCAGGTTTTTGCCCACTTCTGGAACTTCTCCATGGTATATCTACTACCCTCAGCATGAAAGCCTGCGCTGTCTTGTACCACCTGTCAGGGAGTTTAGTCCGGAAGTTTCCCTCTGAACAAATACAAAACTCTGATAAGGTAGCAGAATATTTGAAATAAAATTGCTGTGTCAGTTCCAGAGAGGGGCAACTTACTGCTCTGTGCTGAGCCCTAGTTAATGCTTACCTGGATGTTTCTTGTTACTATACAGCAGCAGCTACAACTAGAAGAAAAGGAGATCAAATTGGCAGACACCACAGTCACTCAGGCTGCAGTTAAACAAGATGGGCAGTCTAAGCCAATAGGAGTCGCCCCTGTCCAAAGGAGGGGCCAAATAAGACCAAATCCAGTGACCCAGTAAGATGACCATGGGGTGTTCTAGGGAGAATGTTCAAGAGGAATGTCCCTTCAACATGTCATGCCAACAATGCTACCTGGAGTAAGCAGATCACTCTGATCACACAGCAAGTTCAGATGGGGAATCCTAATCATTCTGGGACCTTGGAAAGTATCAGAAACTGGCCTGAAGGTGAGCATTTTGGACTAGCTTCTGAAGAGGAAGAGGATTAGGTGCCACATGCTGAGGAGGCCTCACCATATAAAACCAGCCACCAGAAAGTGAGAGGCGACACGCACTTTTCACTGAGAGCTCCTCCTATATTGTAGGGACAAGTAAAACATGGAAAGCTGCCATATTGGAGCCTATACAGCAAGTTGCAGAAGCTACCAAAGGACAAGGTGGATCAAGCCAGGATGCAGAACTGAAAACCCATCTGACTTTGGATATTGCTGATTGAGAGAAGTGGCCAACACTATACCTCTATATTGAACTGTAGATGGTAGCAAACACTCTGTAGGCATGGCTGGAATGATGGGAAAAGGCCAATTGGCATTGAAGAAG